GCTCCCTCAGGACCAGCATCCCTACTGTAGTACAAAGCAAGTGGTATCCACACCGAGTATTACTGGAAACTGGTAACTGTAGTCACCAGGGTTTCCTGTGAGGAACAGGTGTAGGAGGGAAAACACTTTTTATTGTATGCCTTTTGAAATTTCATCTCATGTATTTTTAGCATTCTTTCAGATACTAAAATAAGTAAAAAGAGAAAAAAGCTGTGTAGGTGGCTGTGCAGGAGCAGCTGGAATATCTCCCTAGTTTCTGTGTTAAAAAAAGAAAAAGGTAAGCCAAGCCATCAGCTTGGGCATCCATGCACTACAGAATAGCCCTGCTGCTTTCATTTCTCAGTCCTTGTTCTAATTAAGACTAAGGCAAATAATATTCAGGGCCGGGCCTAGGGACAGTTGAGTACCAAACACCACTTACAAATCCCATTTTCTTCTGATGGTAAAGCCTTTGTTCCAGGATGAGTCAGACTCATCCTGTCTGGCTTCTCAGCCCCAGCCCTTTAAAAAGGGCAGATCACCCAGAAACTTGCCAGACTTTCCTGAGACCAATGAGCCACCAACAGGGAACCCAACCAAGGGATCACATGGATCTAAGGGAAGAACATTATTGAAAAATAGTAATTGCAACTTCAAATTGTTCATAAAACCTTATAAAGGGCTCTTGACTAAAAAAAAAAAAACATTAATGTGCTTAACTAAACTCCTCCTCTCCAGGCAGGGCAGGTAGGCCCTGAGCATACATGCACCTAGTCAGTTTTATAGTTGCAGGAGTGGACCTGGGAGAGGCTTAGCTCTTTATTGGAGGAGAATTTGTGGTCCTCATGAATTATCTAAGAAGTAACATAGCCCCTGCACATCTGTGACAGTGTCTGGCACATAAAAAATGTTCAGTAAACATTAGCCCTTTTTATTATTATTATTATTGTACGTGTTTCTATACATTTCAAGTGATTTATAATGTTAAAAACTGTAATCCTTTTTTATAAATTGATGATTAATGAAGATATTCCAAGGTTTTAACAATAATTACTCTCTCCAAAATGGCAGGAACCACTACTTTCAGAAGTGGTTGAGGAACACGCTTGAAAGAATACTATGAGCTTTTCTGCCACCTAGTGGAAAATTAGGTTATTATAAACTTCTCAATAAACGTGAACTAAGCAAATAGGTTTCAGTAATTAACAATTGGCTTCCATTATATGCATTATCACAATATCAAGCCTCTAAAGACACAGTCTATGTCTATATGGAGTCACCTTTTAAAAAAAATACAGAACAAATCCTGTTTGAGCTGCCTAATCACAAACCAAAATCTATGGAGATTCCTGGCCACTCCAAGGTATCTTAGTCACTAGAACATGGCCAGAACCTAAAAGCAGGGGGCCTGGCACATGGAAAACCTTTGATGAATAACTTCTTCATGAATCTTTACCACAATAATTACGAACATAAAATAATGACAAATACAAAACAACAGAAAAAAACCAAACACTTAAGCTATTTAATCATATTTCCCTTTCTAAAGTGTTTTCAATATAAATACTTTATTCTTAGAAAAATCTATGAGATTATTTATTTTTAGTTTTAAAGATGAGGTTAATTGCTGAAAGGACAGTGGGGAAGAGAAAGAAGGAGCAGGAGAATCCCTGCTGTCTTCTGATTACATTCTGACCTCTCCCAAATCTTACATGATCTTCAGGAGAAAGATTAAGAAGGAAGGCAATGGTTTGTTTTTCTCTGAGAGAACAGAGGAGAACCCTATGAGGAAGGAAAGGGAAGCCAAGCTGAAAGGCAAAGCCACAGGGCTCACATGCCCCTTGGTGGGAAGACTTATTCTGCCCCCTGCTCAGGGTCAGTTGTGCCACTATGCCCCTGATCCACAGCTCTCTGGTTTCTCTGGACTTTGCTAATTTAAGCATCCACCTTTTCTAATTCTCTAACCTTTCCTCTCCACAGGAAAATCCCTTCCAACTCTAAAATTCTGTCTTCATCCAACTATCCCCATAGATTCTGTCTTATTGCTCTCCTGCTTTTCAAAATAGACTTATCAGAAGAATAGATTCTTACCACATTTCATTCCCCACAATTTACTCCTTAATTTACTACATACAACTTCCTTAATAGTTCCATCCTTGTCAGCCCTGGAAGTTGCTCTGCTTACCAAGGAGTCTGTTTTTCTCCCCAAGGTCTCATTGGACCTCAGAGACACCTCGTACATGCTGCTTCAAATCATGACCGTCACCCTTGCCCAAACCAGTTGTTCCCCCACCTGTTGCCATGCCCTGGAACTCAAAGTTATCAACAGAAAAATGTAACAGTGAAAAAAATAGTGGAAGATTCCCAAGCCAAATGGGAGAATAATTTTTTTATGTTATCTCGTTGGGGAGAGATTCACATAAAGATTTTTTAATTTGTTTTACCTTTTTACTCTGTAAAAGTTTCAAATGTAGAAAAGTTGGAAAATTTGTACAATGAACTCTCATATATCCTTTAGTGAGATTCACCAATTGCTAATACTTCGTCGTATTTTCTTCATCTCTCTCCGTCTGTTGTTGTTGTTGTTACTAAATCACTTGAGGAAAGTTGCAGACATTCACTCATAAATATTTAAGTATTTATCTTTGAAGGTCAGGGACATTCGCTTTCACAGGGTAATGATCATTCAGAGACTTTAATGATGACACAATATAATTATGACTGTACATAATGATGGTATAGTTATGGAATGTGCAGACTATAACCAAATTTTACCTCTTATCTAAATGATGTCCTTCCTAGCAACAAGAGATTTTTCTCATCCAGCATTTAATAGAAAATTATATCTTACATTTAGAAGTCATTGTTTTTAATGTCCTTTATTCTGGTATGGTTCTCAGTCTTTGTGTCTTCTGACACTAATGTTTTTGAAAAATGGAGGCAATTTGCTTTGTGGCTAGTCTTTCAATTTGGATTTGACTGATAGTCTCATAATAAAATTCAAGTTATACATTTTTGGTAGAAATATTACATGAATGATATTAAATCCTTTCCAGCATAAATAGAAATACAAGATACTAGTTTGTCCCATTGTGCTTTCCACCATAAGAGTGCTATTTCCTCTTCTAGTTAGTACGTAATCTTTAAGGAGAAACTTTAAACTGTATAAATATACTCGCCCCAAGGAAAGGGCAGCCAAGCTGAAAGGTAAAGCCACAGGGCTCACATGCCTCTTGGTGGGAAGACTTATTCTGCCCCCTGCTCAGGGCCAGCCCTGCCACTGTACCAAATTTTCACACACTGTTTTTAGTATTCCTTGATGACCCCAAATCACATATTATTATGATCATTGCAAAACAGTGATGTATTTTTCCTTCTACATTTATTAGTTGGTATTTTGTAATCAAGAGAAGTTTCATGACATTCTTCTTAATAGTTTGTTTTTCTTTATTTTAGTATCATTAAGAACTCATAGGTTCTGGCCAGCCCCCTGCCCACATGTTATAATCCACTATTGTCATTATTCTTTTTTCTTTGTCAGAGATTTGATCAGTACAAGTCTGTTCAAGTTTCTTCCCTTTTAACACATCTTATCTTTTTTAAAAATTTTATTATTTTATTATTTATATTACAATAAAGTGTTCTAGTCTCATCATATATTTATCATGTACTTTAGAATCAGCTGTCTTCAATGGGGAATGGCATTTAGACATCCTGATCTGGGTTCTGGGTGTGCTCATTGTTCTGAGGAACATTACTTCTAGACTCCTAGAATTAAGAAAGAAATATGTGTGTTCATATATTATTTTCAGTTTTTGAAAAATCATGGTTTGATACTGACCCTTATCAGGAAATATTCTAAGCCAATATTGTACATTTTCTTATTTCCCTCATACCATAAAATGCATATCCTTTTCCCCACAACAGAAAACTGTATTCCCAGAACAGTCACTATATTTACTCATTTGATTATTCCTAAAGTTCATAAAAAATAGCTTCAGAATTAATATGTTTATGTTGCTGCCAAAAACAATATTTATTAGTACTTCTTTTTGGCTTTAGACTGGGAATAAATACCTAAGTACTGTATTCAAAGTGATTTGGATTCATTCTCTTTTTCCTTCTATAGAGTTCTACCATCCATTTGATATACTTTTAGTTTAACTTGTTACTGTTTTTATTCAATGCAAAGCTATTAGTATCATTAAGAATGATACAAACACACAAGCACATATACACACATACTCATATACACAGAGGATTTTCACTCTTTTTATGTGTTTTCTACTCTGCACCAGGTAAGCAATTCTATTAGTTTCTGGTTTCTTTGTATATTTCTTTTTGGGTATGTGTGAGTGGCCAAAAAAAAAAAAAAAATGGAGATACATGTATATATTCTTATTTCCTCTTCTTTCTTTCAGAATAGTCAGCATAATATGTTTTTTTTTTCTGCCTATGGGATTTGATCAAGGAAATCTCCATAGAAAGTAGAATTTTAAACTTCCACCTATTCCTAAAAGTACAAAACCAAGAAAAATGCCTTAACAATTGCCAGGCACGGTGGTGCACACCTATAATCCCAGTGGCTCAGGAGACTGAAACAGGAGGATCACGAGTTCAAAGACAGCCTCAGCAAAAGCCAGGCTCTAAGCAACTCAGTGAGAACCTGTCTCTAAATAAAATACAAAAAATAGGGCAGGGGATGTGGCTCAGTGGCCAAGTGCCCCTGAGTTAAATCCCCAGTACCCCCTCAAAAAAATGCTTTTTGATAATAGGAAAGATGTTCTGACCAATGGTTGTCAAAGCATCATCATGGGACCAGCTTCACTGAACCACATGGGGACTTGTTAGAAATGCGAATTCTTTGACACCTCCCCAGACCTACTGAATCAGAAACTCTGGGGATGGGACCCAGTAATTCATATTTCAAACAAATCTCTAGACAATTCCAGGGTCTTAAAGTTTTAGAACAACTGGTCTTGGTTAGTCAAGGAGAAAGAAGTTAAAAGAACAATACCTACCTTTCACTGAGTGCTTACTTTGTGTGGGACAGGTGTACACATCTTACATGATCTGTATTCCTCACATAATCCTCATAACAGCCTCAGCCAGTAGGAGCTGTGATCAAGTTTACCATGGAAGAACTGTGGTACAATGAACATAGAAAATTCTTAAAATCATACCATTAATAAGTGAAGGAGACTAGATTTGAACCTGAGCACACGGACTTTAAAACCCATGAGCTTAACCATTACACTATACTACTTCTTATGTCAGCATTCAATAAAAACAAACTAGATTTCTCTCCTTAATAAAATTATAGGCTAGCTTCCTGTGGGAAGTGTTTCTGAGTATTTCTGTACTAGGTGAGTTGAGAGAAATGTTTGGCTAGAAGGAGGGAAAACAAGGTCTGGGAAATAATGGTAGGCCAGGGCTTTGTGAAGAATGTCATATGAAATAGTCACAGTGGTGGGGACAGTGGAGGGCCTTTAAGGCCCAGGGCCTTTAGCCATTCCATTTCATCATTTCCCATATTGTGTCTTACTGAAGTCCCTCATCATCCTCCAACCTTCAGGGAGAGTTGTGGGAGAGTTCAGGGAGAGCAATGCATGTCCATGCTTGACACCTTGACCCTAGAGGTGAGGTCCAGGCATGTTGAAGGCAATGAGGAGAAAGCAGAGCAGCTGTTAGGTAAGGAGCAGACATAGAGGATTCACTGGGAACAGGAACTGACGTCCAAATTCTGAAGAGTGTTTAGTGAAACCCTAAGACCAACTGATGGTACAAGGAGGCAGATACCATACACAGGAGATAGAAGAAATGCCAACCCCATCGAAGATGGCGGGCCAGTGGAAGGCAGCATTCTGTGTTGCCCCATGACTTGGGACTCAACCTCTAGTGGGAATATTGCTTTTCTGAGAGTGATAGAGGATCCTTCCACAACTGATCCCACACAGGAATCATGGCCACCATGACTACTGACTCCCAACTACTCACCTAGTCAGGTCTTGTGGGTGCCTTAGCAGGACCACCAGCATCATCCCCAGCACAGAATTCCCAGATGCTGCACCCACGAAGGACATTCAGCAGATACCTATGCACAGGAACTCCAGCCACCACTCTCGTGTGGACCCCCATCTACCAACATGGGGCTCCCCTGGTCACTTCTATTCTTGGGACTCAGCAGCTACTGCCATAATCCCCTACTCACAGTAGCCTGCCTGCACCTAGGGACATCACAGGCTTTGAAGAAAGCCTACAGACACAACACTGCACACCACAGAGCTCATCTCTGAACGAATAGCATAACACCATTGCCCAGCTCCCTCCACCCAACCCAACACCCCATTGCTGAAAGCAGCTGTCTCCATCACATCTTTAGTTGGGGCAACTACCAGTTTGGAACCCTGGATAGCCAGGTATGCATAGTTTTCTAATTCCCTCCAATCCCCAGCAGCCGCTTACTCAGCAGAGTGACTGCCCAATACAATACAGCCCTCCACGGCTGGTGCACACACCAGAGTGCAACACACAAGACCCCCAGAGAGAAAGGTTCCTGATTAGGAAATAGAAAGGGAGAGGGTGAGACAGATACACTTTAGAGACTAATTTAGAGGGCAGGAAGTGTGAGGTCTACAGGCGAGATAAGACCAGGCACCCACATCACAGGAACAGACCCCAAAGGAGATCCTTGAGGTACAGACTCCCAATGGGATGGACCCCACTGCTAGGTGCCCTGTACCCAAGACCAACCCTCAAACCCTGGTAACCCCCACCATCATGAGGGCAGAGATACCAACTAAGAACAGACAATCCCACCTATTGGATGAGAAGGGAAGCAGGAAAGATACTGATTTCCAACCAAAATAATCCTTGTTTCTTACTTCAATATTTTTTTCTTTCTTCTCCCTCTTTATTCCTCTGCCCTCATATCCCCAACATATGTGAAACCAAGTTTGCATGAATTAGGATATTGAGGACTGAGACGACTAAATAGTTTACAGTTGTATTCTACATTCTTTTTGTTTGTTTGTTTTCTTTTTTCACTCCAATTTTTACTATTTAACATTTTTCACTTTTCTTAATATATATGTGTGTTTGTTTTATGTACTCTACTGTTTTCCCTCTTACTTGTCTGCCCCAAATTACTACCTCTCTCTTCTCCTGCTACTAACCTCCTTCTTTAGATTTCTCTTTCACACTTCCTAATATGTAATAACTCTGCATCCTCATCTCATACCTCCTCAGCATATCTTCCTACACCTACCCCCTGGTTCTTTGTAAACTCTTTTACAAATCTACTGATTATATTGTATATAATAATTGAATTTACCATTTTCTGTACATTATGACCAAACTGTAAATGTTTTAATAATAACTATTTGTTTTTAGGTGGTATTTTGTTTATATTGGGATCTGTTAACATTATCCTTCCCCTCAAAGGACAGGCATTGGAACCTTAAGGGGCACTATAAGTATATGGGGTTAAAATGGTAATGCCTTGAATCCACAGAGCTAGAAAGGAAGACAAGGGAAGAAAGTGCCCCCACCCCCAAAAAAATTAAGATACCACATTATTAGGATCCATGGCCAGCAGAGCAGATGAAATTACAGAGAAGGAGTTCAGGATGTACATCATTAAAATGTTCTGTGAATTAAAGAATGATATAAGAAAGCAAATACAGGCAGCAAAATCATTTCAACAAAGAGCTACATAAGCAAATACAGGAAGCAAAAGATTACTTCAATAGGGAAATAGAGGTTCTAAAGAAAAACCAAACAGAAATCCTTGAACTGAAAGAAACAATAAACCAAATTTTAAAAGTTCAATTGAAAACATTACCAACAGATTAGACCACTTGGAAGACAGGACCTCAGACAATGAAAATATATATATAATCTTGAAAAGACTGTAGACAACACAGTGAAAATGGTAAGAAACCATGAACATACTAGTCAAGAAATATGGGATAGCATAAAAAGATTGAATTTAAGAGGTAATGGGATAGAGGAAGGCATAGAGTTCCAAACCAAAGGGATGAACAACTTATTCAATGAAATAATATCAGAAAATTTTCCAAACATGAAGAACAAATTAGAAAACCAAATTCAAGAGGCTTACAGGACACCAAGTGTACAAAATCACAACAGATCCATACCAAGTCACATTATAATAAAAATGCCTAACATACAGAATAAGTAGATACTATTAAAAGTCACAAGGGAAAGGAATAATATTACATATATGGGGAAACCAATTAGGTTATGTTCAGATTTTTCAACCCAGACCCTGAAAACTAGAAGATCCTGGAACAACATTTTCCAAGCTCTGAAAGAAAATGAATTTTGTATCCAGCACAATTAAGCTTTAGATTTGATGATAAAATAAAAATCTTCCATGATAAACAAAAGTTAAAAGAATTTGCAGCTAGAAAACCTGCACTACAGAACTTTCTTGGCAAAATATTCTATAAAGAGGAAATGAAAAACAGCAATGAAAATCACTAGAGGGAGGTATTACACTAAAAGCAAAGCTAATCAAAGGAGAAACCAAGTCAGGTTAAATAACAAAAATAAACAAAAATGGCTGGGAATACAAATCATGTCTCAATAATAACCTGAATGTTAATGGCCTAAACTCACCCATCAAAAGACATAGGCCAGCTGATTGAATAAAAAAAAAAAATCCCAACAGTATGCTGCCTCCAAGAGACTCATAGGAAAAGACATCCACAGACTGAAGGTGAAAGGTTGGGAAAAATCATACCACTCATGTGGACTGCAGAAGCAAGCAGGGGTTTTCATCCTCATATCAAATAAAGAAGATTTTAAGCTAAAGTTAATCAAAAGGGACAAAGAAGTACATTTCATACTGCTCAAGGGAACAATACACCAACAAGACATAACAACTATAAATATATATGCCCCAAACAATGGAGCATCTACATCCATTAAACAAACTCTTCTCAAGTTCAAAAGTTAAATTGACCATAACACAATAATTCTGGGTGACTTTACCACACCTCTTTCACCACTGGATAGATCTTCCAAACAAAAGCTGAACAAAGAAACTATAGAACTCAATAATACAATCAATAAGGTAGACTTAATTGACATATATAGAATATTTCATCCTTCAACAAGTGAGTACACTTTCTTCTCAGCAACACATGGGTCCTTCTCCAAAATAGACTATATATTATTCCACAAAGCAACTCTTAGCAAATATAAAAAAAGTAGAGATACTACCCTGCATTCTATCATATCATAATGGAATGAAATTAGAAATCAATGATAAAATAAGAAATAAAAGCTACTCCAACACCTGGATACTAAATAATATACTACTGAATAAACAATGGGTTGCAGAAAACATCAAGAGGAGATTAAAATAAAATTTAGAGGTGAATGATAACACAAATACAACATATCAAAATTTCTGGGACACTATGAAGACAGTTCTAAGAGGAAAGTTCATTGCATGGAATTCATTCCTTAAAAGAAGAAAAAGTCAAGAAAAAAATGACTTAACATTACATCTCAAAGCCCTAGAAAAAGAAGAACAAAACAACACCAAAAGCAGCAGAAGACAGGAAATAATTAAAATCAAAGTTGAAATCAATGAAATTGAAATAAAAGAAATAATTGAAAAATGACAGAACAAAAAGTTGGTTCTTTGAAAAAATAAATAAAATTGACAAACCCTTAGACATGCTAATGAAGGGAAGGAGAGAGAAAACTAAAATTCCTGCTGAGAAAAGAAATATCACAACAGACACTATAGAAATACATAATTAGAAATTATTGTGAGAACTTGTACTCCAATAAAATAGAAAATATTGAAGGCATCAACAAATTCCTAGAGTCATATAATTTGCCGAAATTGAATCAGGATGATATACACAATTTAAACAGATCAATTTCAAGCAATGAAATAGAAGATGCCATCAGAATCCTTCCAACCAAGAAAAGCCCAGGACCAGATGGATACATGGCTGATTTCTACAGGACCTTTAAAGAAGAACTAATACCAATACTTTTATTTCAGGAAATAGAAAAAGAGGCAGCACTTCCAAACTCATTCTATGAGGCCAATATCACCCTGATTCCAAAACCAGGCAAAGACATATCAAAGAAAGAAAAC